TGACGTTCCCCCCCTCCCCCCGCGCCTGCCTCTCACATGTGCTCACTGGCCAGTGGAGGCAGGAGAGACAGAGAGAAATCACCCTCCGGGGAGACGGCCATGCTGTGGTCCTTCCTCCTCCATTCTCCTCTCGGGACTTGGCACGCCCAGCATGTCATCCCAAGTCCCCCAGGTGGGGTCCTGCCGCCGTGACCACCACAAGGCCGGCCGTCTGTCTCGGCTCCACCCCTGTCCCCTTCTCTCCCCGCGTTCTCCTCACCCGTCAGCTCTGTGCCGCCCCTCCTGCGTCTCCTTTCCCCACATTACTCACATCCCACCCAAACGGCCGCAGACTCCCTCCCAGCCCCGGCCCGGCTCTCCCTGTCCGCCACATCCACGTGGCCTGCAGAGGCAGTTCGCATGCGCAGCTCTGAGCCTGCCCTCCAGCCTCCCCACCTGTCTGTCTTCCCGCTGGACCGGGAGCCCTGAGAGCAGGGCTTGGCCCATGAGTGACCTCAGGGAAGACCTGCGGAGTGAAGGGAGGAAAGTCACTGGGCTTCAGCCCTTCCGTTTCCATAGCGACCTTGGAATCCCCTCCTCTCCACCCTGCAAGGCCCTGCAAGGTCCCGCCCCTCAGCCTGGGCCTCAGCGCCTGGGGACCAGCAGTAGCTGCTTGTCCCTCCGCAGTGAGGCAGCGGCCCAGGCCCGTCCCCAAGCGTCCCGCCCTCTCACTCCCCCAGGTCTTACACCGCCCACTGCGGTCCCTGCTGCAGGACCAATCACCCTGCCTGGGTCCCGGCTCTCAGTGACTGAGTTCCTTGAGAACAGGGCTAAGATCTGCCTCCCCTCTGAGGACCCAAGTCCTAACACTGCCTGATCCGTCAGCTGGTGCTCGAAAGGCGGAGAGTGAGTGGCTCTCCGTGGCCCAGTGCTTCCACGCCACACGCCATGGCTGTGCTCCAGCCCCCGTGCCAGTGTGCACTGGCTCCCACGCACTCCAGGGCCCAGTGCCTGTCTGGTGCTGTTTCAGTGTGTCTCCGGGCCCCACGCGGCGCTGCTGAAAACCAGGCCACGGCCCGGGCCACCCTTAAAGCCTAATTCCTCACCTGCAAGTTCCTGCCTGACCTGGCCCTGCCTACATCCGCCGCCCCACCACCTTCCGGGCACTCCGGAAGCTCCTTCCTGCCCCAGGGCCTTTGCACCTGTGGCCCTCTGCCTGGGACACTTGGCTCAGCCTCACTGCTGTGTCCCGTCCTGTGTTGGCTGTCAGCCTTTCCTCTTACACTGCGCTAGGCCCCCCAGGGGCACCAGCATCACGCCCCACCTGCCGTGTGCCTGTGCGACTCTTCCCTTAGTCTGTCCAGGGAAAGGGATGTGAACTCCTGAGGGTGTGGGAGGGGTCTGCCTCCCCCTCTGGCAGGTTCAGCATGCCACCACTTGGGCACACACATAACCACATAATCGCTCCTAGGGAACCATGGCGTGCCCTTTCTTACGCGACGGCCCCCGCACAGGCAGGCTGCTCAGAGTGACAAGGCCAGCGAGCGCCGCATCCAGCCATGTCCCCTCTACTGCTCTGGCTCTGGCGCACACGCAGTGTGGAGGTGGGACTGAAACCGAGTCGGGCCCTCGGCAGGAGTTGAGCCCGGGCTGCGCTGGGCTGGGAGCCCCTCCCTCCTCGCCTCCCGCCCCGCCCCCACATGCACACAGCAAAAACAGTAAAAAGAAAACATCTCAAAACTGCAAAAAACACCACGGCCCTCCCCCCTCCCTTAAATCCCACCAAAAAA